TGAATTTCTGAATTTCTGAATTTCTGAATTTCTGAATTTCTGAATTTCTGAATTTCTGAATTTCTGAATTTCTGAATTTCTGAATTTCTGAATTTCTGAATTTCTGAATTTCTGAATTTCTGAATTTCTGAATATCTGAATTTCTGAATTTCTGAATTTCCGAATTTCCGAATTTCTGAATTTCTGAATTTCTGAATTTCTGAATTTCTGAATTTCTGAATTTCTGAATTTCTGAATTTCTGAATTTCTGAATTTCTGAATTTCTGAATTTCTGAATTTCTGAATTTCTGAATTTCTGAATTTCTGAATTTCTGAATTTCTGAATTTTCGAATTTCTGAATTTCTGAATTTCTGAATTTCTGTATCGAAAAGAAATAGTATCGAAAATTGGAAAACGAATTTCAGATTTATTTTAAAATTTTCAGAATTCCAGAACTTCAGAACCAGGGAATTTCAGAAATGTAGAAGTTCCAAAAATTCTGAGATTACAAAATATTATAAAAAAATCAAAAATTCAAAAAAAAGTAGGAAAATTTAAAAATTTCAGAAACTTTTTTGAAATTTGAAATCAAAAATTCCAAAAATTTAACTTTTAAAAATTCCAAAACTTCTTCAATTCCAAAAAAAAATCGCTGAAAAGCATGGGAATTTTCTGAACTGGAAAAAAATCGACTTTTTAAATATTTCAGATTCCAAGCTCCGCCCATTTTCTGAAAAATCAAATTTCAGTTTAGCTGATCAAAAATCTATCAGAATATGTACTAAAATTTGGGGCTCAAAATAGGGAAAATGACCGGAAAAGTAAACAAAAAACCAAAAAAAAAAACTTTTTTCTTGAGATAATTTTGTTAAATTCGTCGCCGCCTACGTCACGAAAAGAAATCTTGTGACCGGATAAAAATTGAATTTGCGGACAAAAATAGACATCTTTTTTTGAGAAAAACTTCAAAAAGTGGGACCAACCTGCTCGGAAAATCTCATTACATCCATCACATCGTGTTGCGAAAGCCTGGTCGTAACAGTTGGAACAGAAGACTGAAAAATTACATTATTAAAAAAAAATAAATATTTGAAAATTTAGAATTTCAAAAATTCAAAAATTTAGAATTTCAAAAATTCAAAAATTCAGAATTTCAGAAATTCAGAAATTCAGAAATTCAGAAATTCAGAAATTCAGATATTCAGAAATTCAGAAATTCAGAAATTCAGAAATTCAGAAATTCAGAAATTCAGAAATTCAGAAATTCAGAAATTCAGAAATTCAGAAATTCAGAAATTCAGAAATTCAGAAATTCAGAAATTCAGAAATTCAGAAATTCAGAAATTCAGAAATTCAGAAATTCAGAAATTCAGAAATTCAGAAATTCAGAAATTCAGAAATTCAGAAATTCAGAAT